CTCCCAGCGAGACTGTGCTGAGCAGGATCGGCGGAACAGGCGCCAGAAGGCGGAGCGGGCAATCACCGCATTCCAACGCCTCTGGCGCTTGCGGCAGAAGAGGCGCCAGCGCAGGTGGCAGCTTGAGCAGAGCTTGGAAGTGGAGACGACTCCCTACGATGCCATCCTTGCTGTTAGCTCCTTGGCAGAGTTCCTCTCAACTCGGGAGATCAAGTTCCTCCAGAAGGCAGAATCACACTTTGAGATTGCCAAGGAAAGTCGGTATCGCATCGTGGCAGTGGTGGGCTTGTTCGACAAGGGCAAGACCTGGCTCATCAATAAGTTGTTTGGAGTGAAGTTGGCTTCAGGCAAACTTTGCACCACAAAAGGCTTGAGCTTCCTGTGGATCAAAGAGAGGCGCATGTTGGTCCTTGACTCCGCCGGTGTGCAGTCTACTGTGTCCTACAGGGCACAGGCCGTAGATGCAACCCATGATGCTCAGACCACAGAGTCCTTGATGTTTGAAATGGTCTCCCGAATTGCCCATCACATGGTGTTCGTGGTGAATGACCTCACTTGGTTCGAGCAGAAGTATGTTGCCATGCTTCACCAGAAGTATGTCCAGTCAAAACAGCACAAGGAGCTCATCGTTGTCCACAACTTGCGGAACACCACAGATGTGCAAGAAGCACAGAAGCTTTTCCAACGTCAGGTGATGCTTTGCTACGATGGGGAACCCTCGCATTTGGGCCAGCTGATTTTCACAGCTGATGCTGGAGAGGGAGCTCCACCAGTACATCATGTGGGCCTTTGCTATGAGTTCTCCGCGACAGGAGACGCATTCAATTCGAAAAATCGAGACTACCTACTCCAAAGCTTGGAGCATGGAAACACGCTTGGCTCCAACATTGTGCTTACTGACTTGCTGTGTGCTGAGCTGTCGCGGCTGTTGCCCAAGTTTGTCAGCATTGAGAACACAGAGCCAGAGGCATCAGAGAGCATTCAATGTCCCGCCATGCTATCAGTGAAGTTCGAGTCTCGAGCTGAGCATGCTGATCCACATGCTGAAAGTGCAGTCTACACTCCCTTGGGCAGCATGTGCATACATCTCTCTCCAGAAAAGGCTCACCTTTCCACCAAGACACGTGGTGTCATTTCGCCTTTGGGAGAGATCATAGCGCATGACGTGAGCTTTGATCCCATTGTGAATGTCTTTGACAAGAGCATCAGCACAGGCATCCAGCGCTTCATTCGCATTGAATGTCCTGGAGTCGTCGACGATGACATCGAGTGGGAAGAGCTGCCAAATGGAGTGAAGATCACCATCAACAAGAAACCTCCCATCGAAGAGCATTCAGTTCAGCCAGTTGAGCCCATCAGGTGCCACTTTGAAACGCGAAACCG